TTGGTATATTTGCTTTAAATGTAAGGAAAGAATGTAAGTATTTTTTCCTGTGTTGTATATCCATTGTTTTAGATCCTTGATCAGCCAGTCTTTAGTTAGAAGTTGCAAAAGACTATTGGAAATCTATGAGGTTGTGTTACCTTGGTTGTTTAAAATAGGGCCAGATAGCATTTCTAACCCATGTGTTGTAATAGCCACTGTGTCTCTGAGATAACCCTGTTGAGCAAACAGGAAGATGCTGTTCTATCACGATCCAAAGGAGGGGTTCCAACGCTTTTGGGATTCTCTGCATGGATCCCCATCCCCCAAGCTAGCCTGGTTATTGCTATGCTCATCTTGGTCTCTCCTATGTGAATGCCCCATTGAGTTAGGACCAGGGCACTGCTTAAAGATCAGGAAAAGGTAAAGACAGCTGAAGTCTGGTGGATTTGAGACTGAACTAGAGTGAAAGAGAGGTGAAAAGTCAGTGATCCTAGGCTGTGCTCTCTTCATCTGTCACAAACTGAACTAGAGTGAAAGAGAGGTGAAAAGTCAGTGATCCTAGGCTGTGCTCTCTTCATCTGTCACAAACACTGTTTGACCTGTTCACATCTCTGTTCTTCTGTTTAACCTACCTGTCATGACAGTTACTCTCCACTTGCAAGGATTATGAATAATGTGACTGTTAAATAGTGCCACATGTTATGCCTGGTGCCTTCCAAGACAAATACACAAGCAAGTATTTGTTAATAGTTGCTCTGCTCCTTGTTTCCAGAAGGAAAAAGGAGAGAGGAGCAGACCGTCCTTGTGATAACCTCTTGTACTTCAGCAGAACCTGTCAGAAGAGGGCTGCAAACCATTAGGAACCCCAAGGAGAGACTGCAGAGCCCTTCAAAACTGCTGGCATGGCTAGGATAGGCACCTCATGGAGAATTCCCTTTTCAGGAATTAGTATAACATTAAGTATCTTTGAAGTAACACCAACCCTCTTTCCATCTTCCTTCCTGTGTAGCTGTCTTCGGCCTCTCTACCACTCTCACAGTATTTCAAAGGGTTCATTGAAATACTTGCTGTGAGGCCTTAATATCCTTATTATTGGAAGACAAAAGATAAATGGCAATCACCCAGCTAAAATGATCTGTTTTTTCTAGTTTTAGAAACACAAAAATGTACAGCAGATATTTATATAAAATTCAGGTAAAATACAGGCCAGAATGCTCCAGAAGGAAATAATTTCTATGAGTGCACCAAGAACAGCATTTAAGAACAAGGCTAATTTATGAAGCCCATCCTTTCAAGCAACCATTTTGAAACAGGCCATTGTATTTCCTGTAATTATTTATCTAATTCCACCAATATTAATTGATAGATATTTCCTGGTTCATGAGTGCTCAATGAAGCTTCATCCTATATTAAAGAAATTGATACAACTCAGGGTTTTGTGTCCTAAATGCTAATACAAGGAAAGCTGGCAGTAGTAAAGTCTTTCTCCCAGGACATTGTTACTGGGGCAGATGCAGCTGTGGGTGAAAGCCCGATGTAAAATCTGTGTAATAGCTAACTCCCACCAAAACACTCTAGCAACAGCATGGTTGGACATCAGGAAATTAGGGACAAACAAGTCTTAGATGTTGCTGTTAGGAGAGAGCGAATTTTGGCACTTAGAAGGAATATAGATGGATACCCTGGGACGCAGATGTAGCTGATGTGAATATGTGAAAGTTGGTGTTGTGATCATGCTTTCCAGCAAACTAAGTTTTCTGTGACCCGGGTCATGGTGGTCTGTTTTTGTATGGCACGGAGGCACCTCAAAGTGTGGTTGACATAAATGAGTGAATAACCCCACTGAACATGGGGTATATTTGTATACCTGATATTCAGTTTCTCACATTGAACTGGCCTTGGAAGCGAAAAGGATGTTTTCTGGGGAAAGGAGAGGAAATGTTGTGGTTGAGAAGGAAGGCAAAGACAAACTTTTTGAGAGAGCAGTTACTCCTCTTCTGTGTAGTAATATCCAGGAAAAGAGAAAGCAGGAATGTGTGCTTCATTGTGCTGTGGAAGCTGCTCATGTCTAGACGTGTAATGTGGCAATATAAGTCAAATATACAGTACCCAGATTACTGGGATAGAAAAGTGTGTAAATGTGAAGTAGATGGGCACATAATCACAATGAAATTCCATGCCTTTATTCACATTTCATATGGTGAAATAAACAGTAGTGTTAATAAAACTGTGATATAAGTATTCTCACAGGAGTTGCATATGTGAGCTTTTAGTATTTGACTTTTGGCATGTAAACGTGACAGGAATTCGGTAAGTGGCTAGTGACAATTTCTATGTGTGCTTGTGGGACACAAAATTTCTATGAAAGAAGTTGAAAAGCAATTTTTGCAAGGCTCCTATAAACCCCTAGGTCCTTCCATTAAGTCTCAGTGTCTCAGAAGCCCTTATGTCTACAAAGGCAGAAACTGAAGTGCTTTGGTAGCTAGAGGAAGACTCCATTGTATGTATATGTGCTTGCCTCCATGTGTGTGAGTTCACAGCTGTGTTTTGGAGTCTGCACATAGAGAGGGAAGGTAATATAAAAAGGAATATACCGGTTTAGAAAATATAAATGCAGGCCTGTTCTTGAGCTGCTGTTGATTGCTTAGCTACTTAGAGCATTGTGGTTTATCCCGAAAAAAATGAAAAAAGTATGCTTTGGAAACTTAGACAAGGTCCTGGTGTAAGACAGTAAAGGTTCTATCTGGGCTGGAGTGGTTTTTTTTTAATAGATTGCACTTGGCAGGAGGAGGAGAGTTACTGTAGTTGGTAGCAGGGAGACACGGTGTTTCCTTCCCCATCCCAACCAAGGTGAACATATGTCCTCTAATTTCCTATGGCCTATGTCAGGAAGAGTATTTATGGCTAATTTAAAAGCATACAGAAAGGTAAATGCAGGGACCACTTTTTTTCCCTTGAGTTTGCATAGGAAAATAATTAAAGGCAAACACTGTATATTGTAAGGAATATATTGGTCTGCATATGGCATTCTTTTGTTGCAGATTACAGACCCAGTGGCCTGATCCTGCTATCACTGAAATGAATGGCACATTTCCTATTGATTTCAGGGAAAGAAAGAGCAGACTACAACCCAACATGAGACAGGTGAAAGCTGCTCCTTTAGAAGTTTGCCACCCATTATATTTAGACTCCCAAATTACTTTTTCTTAGTGTCCTGGGAAGTAGATGGACTCAAATTGTTCATATTAAAAGTGCAATGAGGATTGTTTAAAGATATAAATGTTGTCTTTAACATTGCTGAACCAAAAACATAGAAGATTCTGCCAGTGCATGAAAGTGAAACTAGCTGAGAACAAAAGTGAAACCAACAGGCAACTCTCCCTTCCCAGGCTGAGTGAAATGCAGAAATCCTAAAGTGCTGATGCTTAACAGTAAAATTTGATTTTTAAAATTTCCTTTGCTTTTATTAGTGTGAAAAAGTGTTAGTGATCTAGAAGAAGATTTCCCCTAAGATAGGTGTTTTCTTATGATGGTATCTCTTTAAAAAGTCAGAACCAATTAAAAATGTCAATTTTTTCTTTATGATATTTAGGGGCATCTGTACACATCACCCTCTTTTTCTTACACATTTTCCTTTTGCATGCACTGCATCACAGACTTGTAAGTCATATACCCTTAATATTATGACAGAAGCATGTGCTAGAGCAGGACAGAATTGACCTTGCTTACAAAAGTATTGGTAACTGTAATCAGCAAGTTTCTAGAGAAGGGAAAGAAAAAGTACCTTAAAAAATATATTTAAATGATGGTCAATTGCATTTAATTGATAAAACACCAAAAAATAGCAGTGTAGCAATGGGGAGAGACAGACATTCAGTTCTTCCTGCCCAATCTAGTAGGATCAGCAGGAGACAAATGTACAGGAAAGTGGGGAAATACCAAACAAAACAACAGCAGAGGGTAAAAAAAAACATTAGATGCCATGGAAAAAAAGAGAGAATGGAGGAAATAAGTGGTTTAGATAAGTTGACTTTGAGCAAAATTCTTCTTTGGTTCACATTTGTCAGTGTCTAGGAAATTGTGTGTAAAAATACATGTGTGGCTACAGTGTGCTGTAGATCTGAGCAGTATGAGGAAGATAAATATATGGAAGGAAAAGGGTACAAGATGATGTATTTTTTTAAGGCAGTTTAGTCATGAATACTACACCCTACAGTGCTGAGGCTTTCTGACCACGATTTATGTTGATAAGGCTTATTAAATTACAAACTGAAGCAGGATGTTTTGTTTGTTTGTTTGGTTGGTTTTTTTTCATTTAACACACTGAATTTGTATTCATTATCTTAAACAATTTTCCCTCTCACATTTGTTTGGAAAAGTTTGAAGCGAAAAGGTGGGGGGGTGGAATGGTCTATAGACAGTGATTTTAGCTGGTATCTACCGTGCAGGTGGAGGGAGGAGATAGAAGTCTCAAAACTACAGGCCTATGTAAATTCTGCAGCATCAGAAGTAAGTACAAAATAATACAAATCACAGAAAAATGGGTAAAGCAAAGACCATATTTATCTGGGAAGGTATTCAACTTTTAAAGCAGAGGAGGGAAAAGTTGCTGTGGGAAGAAATATTTCAGGACTTTGTCTCTCATGTAAATGGCTTTTAAAAAATTTCAGTGTATGTAAAATATATATATATATATAGATTTAAATATAAGATCATAGCACTTGCAGATTAAATGTTGCTAATGAGATAGAGCATGCAGTGATATGGAGGCTTCTAAGAAATTAAAAGCAGGCCTGGGGAATCTGGTACTTCAACTGATAATGTATGGAACTAATTTTTGACATGTGTACCTGACTTATCAAAGCCAATTTTGAGAACTCAGAGTAGAATGTAATAAGAGTTTTTAAAATGCTTTTCAGATAAAAAGATATAAAGCTTTTTGAGGGACAGATAATTTGAATGTACAGAAATGTGCCTGGGTATACAACAATTTTAATCTATTCCCTCTTATGTTACAGAGAGCATGGCACAGCCCCTGTTCTGGGACAGAAGGACGGACATCTAAGGGACATGAGCATTTCTTCTCAGGTAACCTGCTCTTACTGATGGCTTGAGAGAGAGAGAAAAAATAACTTTTCTGTTCAGATTAAATAATACCTGACCTTTTGGCCTTCTAGATTTTGGTGTTTATTGACATTTCAGGCAAACATAGATACTTTTGTTTTATTTTGAGAGAGGTGAGGAGGCAAAGTGTTGTGAGGGAGGGAAGTTAATGCCAAGTCCTTCTGATGTCTGATCGGTTGCAGGAGAACAGCAGTGCTGACAGTGGTATTCTGGATTTTCCCATTAAAAGATGCAAATGATAGGATATTATAGAAAGATCAATGTATTTGTGAACTGTGCTGTGTGTTTCAGTTTGCTTCATATTAGAACAGCTAATAAATTGGAAGTAGATGCTACGATCTCTGGTTGGTCAAAGGCAGGGCTAGAAAAAATAGTTCTTTCTAATTGTATGTGGTTTTATTGTGTTGACAAATATATTTGATGTGGTAGCAATTAAAAGTAGTCTGTTCTGATTAAGTTGAAGGGCCGAGACTTGGTTTTAAAGCATGCTGGTTAATTAAGCAAGAGTCAGTAAATGGCATAAAGTTCTAGATAGGATGCTTTTTGAGAAAAATGCAGTTTCTTGAGGTCAAATTCGTGAATAAGTAAAATTTTCTGATCAAGAAAGAGTCTGTATTTCTGAGGTATTTTATACTTTGTGCAAGCTTTTTATACACCAATACATAGAAGAGCTGTGTTAAAGTGTTGGAGTTGCTATTGTGTTACGGTATGTCACTTGTTCTTCTTGGTTTGAATTGTTGATTCAACTCTGATAATTAAGACAAGAGAAAAATATAAATTCCATTTACCAAGTAGGATGTTTGTAGCATTGAAAAAAGCGAGAGATTAAAGATGATTAGAGGACTCTAAAATCTATAATGTTGTTCTGTAGCCTTTGAAAAGGCAGAAATCTAAATAATAATATTTTTACAGGGAAAATAATATACATTATCTAAAATAAAGTATTAACTGCTGTTAGAAGAGTTTTGAAATAAATAGTATGTGCAGATAGGTAGTTAGGATTTTAAGTATTTTTCTTCCCCTATTCTTTCTCCTCAAGGAAAATAGAAGGATTTATTTCAAATACAAAAGGAATAAATAAATACAATTGGAATGAAACATTATGCTAGATATTTGGAGAAATTTGTTTTCTCATAAGTATTTTGGTTTTAAATCTAATTGCCGTGAAATAGTTCAGATCTCAAAGTTTGTGGGGAGGAAATGTTTCAGCATCTTTGTTCATACCTGAGGAATCCATTTTAGAAGTCTATTTTCTCTGTTTGCAAAATACATTTTTATTAGATCTGTGTATTTGGGTTAAGACTTACTTAAAATCACTTAATTAGGTTATACTTAAATTCTAAGTGATTTAAAAAGAAGGATTATGATTATATGACAAAACATAACACTATTTTCATTGAAATTCTTAAATAAAGCCCTTTTAACATGCCAATTTTTAAAATCTATAAATTTGGGGTGTTAAAGTAGTACAAAATATAAAAAGGCTGAACTTATAACGGAATGTATAATCCTGTACCAGTGAGGAGGGATTCTGTAGGTACGTCTGGAACATGGCAGGAGGTCATTTACACCTTCAGTTTGGTTTTGAGCATTTTTCTTGTGGTATTGTTGTTCTTCTTATTTTATTATGTGTATGTAAACACTTACGAAAGGTTTGTTGTTGATTTGTGAAGAAAAAATACAGAGAAAGAGGTAACAGTGTAGGTGCGCTTAGCTAGATGGGGACTGATTGTGTTTTCCCAGGAAATTCTGGAAAATATATCAAAGTAAAATTTTCCACAGTAAAGAATAAATTCTAAATAATTGTATTCGTGCTGTTTGAAATAGCATGGCTGTGAATTGTCTTTAAAAACCTCCTGTAAGTGTTCAAAAAGAGTGCAACATAAAAAGGTTTTCCAATTGTGTTTTCTCTAGATAAATCTATGGGTTGTAGGCTGATTTCAGGGGCAGGGTAGTAAAAAATGAACTTTAAAAAAAGGAGCTACGTGTGGGCTTTTCTCATAGATAAATTTGCCTTTTTTTTTTTTTTCTAAAAAGGGAAACGTATATGTGTTTCTTTCCTCTGTGTTGTTTATAGTTTGAAATAAATAATAAATTTGTAGTGATTTAATTTTTTTAAAGACGTATTTGTATTAAAAATCTGGCAATAGGTTTGTTTTACTTGTAATTTAATATTGGAGAAATAGGAGAATGTTTCTGGATATTTGCATTTGTTTCAGAGGCTGGAGCCTAAGGTAGATTTCTGTGTAGCCTGTCAGGCAGTTACACGTCTGAGCTTGTTACAGCCTGTAGCATTACAAATTAGAGCTATTTGACTTTTATTTGCTGCATGAGGCTTTCATAAAAAAAAATGCAAATAAAATAGAAGAATAGAGGATGAGGTCTGCGTGTGTGCAGGGGCTGTTTTGGGGTGCGATGCCGTGCTGTGGAGGGGGGCTGGGTGAGACCCAGAGGGTTTTAGTCCGAGGTGCTGCTTTTGCCTGGACTTGTGCTATCTGCCCCTGTCCCTCACTGACTTTATAAATTGAGTCTGACTCCCCGGGATATTTTTTAGTTCCCAGCAGGGTAGTTGCATGCACATTGTTTGCTACTTGTTTTAAGAGAGGAGCTGTAAAAGTGCTGTATGTGTTAGTCACACGTATACTGAGCACCTGTATGAAGAGTGTATGGGAAGGAGGGCAGAACATGAGTGACTGATTTTCACATTCCTTTCACTACAGGATAGCCCAGCATTTCCTAGTAACTTTGTCACGAAGTTTTCTGGGGGTTGTAAAGCTATTTTGGAGTTAATTTGCTTATTACAATTTGCCTCCTCAAACATAAATAAAGAATTTTTTTAAAGCCCCACCAGCTAGAATAAGGTATTTCACCAGTTTTTTACTATCTCTCAGGGAGCGTGCAGTTAATGCCAGTAACGAACAGTTGTGGCCGGGACCAGAAACCACACTGCGGGAGTACTGAAACCCGCCACAATGGCAGCGGCCCGGGGCCCGCCGCTGGGCCGGGCCGGGCCGAGCCGCTCGGAGCGAGCTCCGCCGGCGAGCCGGGGCGGGGTGGGTCTTCCTCGAGGGCCGCGGAGGCACCGGGCCGGGGTCCCGGGCAGGACCCGCCGGGCAGCGGCGGGGGGGGCCGAGCGGGCCGGCGGAGGCGCCTGGGCGCCGCAGAGGGTTAACGGCGGCGGGCCGCGGGGGCCGGCGGGAGCTGTAGGCGCCGCGGCATGCCGGGAACCGCCACCAGCGGCCGGGATTCGCTGACAGCAGCCGTGACGGCGCCCGCCCGCTCTGGCGTGGGTGGGCCAGAGCTGTCCCGTCGGGCGGGAGCTCCGGGCCGGCCCGTCCGCACTCTGCCGCCGCGCTGGGCCGGCCCGTGCCCGGCCGGGGGTCTCTGCGAGCGCCGGCGTTATCCCCGCGCCCTGAACAGCGGCCTCGGGCCGCGGCCCGGCCGGGGGGGCGCCTCGAGCGCCGGCAGGTCAGTGGCCGCTTTGTCCCGGAGCCGGTGGTGCTGGGGTGCCCGGCCCGTCCTGGCCAGCCCCGGTATCGGCGGAGCCGAGGCCTCCTGGTGCCCCTCGCTGCCGGCCGTTCCGCGCCCGGTCCGGGCCATGGGGCATCAGCCCGGTCCGGCAGGGCTCGGCCGGAGCCGCGTCCTCCCGAGAGGGATTTGCTCTGGTTAAACCACACGGGCGGCTCGCCCGCTCTGCCCCTGGGGCTCCTGCCGTCCCGCCGCGCCTGTGGCTGCCCGGGGCCCCGGAGAGGCACGGGCTCACTGCGGGTGCGGACCTTGGCTTCCAGTTCGCGCTGAGCTCCGCACCGAAGCGCAGAGCACAGAGATGCCTTGCTTGCTTGCGCGGATAGCAAAGGCTGGCACGTGGCAAGAGGGGATCGAGTGCTTTTATCTGCAAGTTGGGGTTTTTTTCTTTGAGATTTTTAAATGTGAAGTGGAAGAATGAAGGTGCTGAAGTGCGTTGAAGTTATGGGACAAACCCAGGAATCAAACGGGACTTGGTAGTTTACCGGATAGAGAGGTATTTTCTTTCCGGACATAGCGATGAGGGAAGAAAAAGGAGACAATTAACGCTACGTGTTAATTTAATGTAATTTATACCAGTAGTGTGAACTCAGTTTTTGTTCAATCTGATATTTTAAAGTAACTTTAAATTTAATTAACTAGGGATAAGTTACTCTATGTATCAAAGGAATGACAAATAATAAATCAGTCTAAGTGACATTAGTAAATTTTGTTTGTGTATTTTTGTTTTCCTCCTTACGTTTTTGAAGCATATCTTGGGGTTCGCAGTTAGCTGAACTTGGGGCTGAACATACTTAAACTTCTGCGAATGGAAATATTCTTGTGAGGTTATTTTCCTTGCTAATAGTAATCCTCCTGAGATTCAGAAGAAGACTAATTTATTATAACTACTAAATCAAGTGCAGAGAATATTACACTGTTGAGCTCAAACAACAACATAAAAAGGAAATACACCATAGTAGGCTTGTTTTCTATTGCTCAGTTTCTGGGAGAGGTATGTGAGGAACTCTACAAACATTTTTGAGCCAGAAAGCACATCAGATTTAGCCAATGATATCACCTGAAATACAGTTCTTAAAGTATACATAGATGGTTCTCAGAAGAAAGAATTGAAATATATGGGTTTTTTCAAGGAAAGGTATTGTTCCACTGGAGGAAAAAAAGTTGTTTTGCTTATGAAAGAAATTATTGAGTAGCCACAGAAAAGGGATAAGTGCCTTTAGTGCCAGTGTTATAACCTCCGGTGGTTTGGACTTGCAGAGTGAAGCTGGTGAAGATGGCTTGAGATACAAATCAGCAAGTCCAGAATAAAATAAAGCAGAAAAGATCAAGGCAAGGGAAATATGATTAATCTATTGTAATGTGCTTTAAGCTTGTTAGTGTATGGCCTACTCTGTTCCCATTCTAACCATTGCTTTTCCAGTTTTACAATAGTAGGT